TAGAATAAACCAAATCTCTCTTATGTCTTTCATATTCGTTTATGTTTTGAAAATCAATTTGATAAAAATAATGAGATACAATGCACAACTTGAGTCTTGAAATAGCAAGTTGTGAAACTATTGTAAAATCATAAGACTAATTCTTGTTTTTGTATTAAAGGTTACATCAAACTCTTGGACATTTAAAATCTTCGTCTTAAATAATAAAAGCTAAATTTAAAAAACCAATAAATAAGTATAAAAAATAAACGAGTGTTAATCATTTAATTAATGCAAAATTGGCGCATATGATTGTGAGCTCAGGTAATTTCGAACCATCTGCAGTTCTTAACAATGTCTTTGCTGTTAAATAAATTTCTGTTATACGTTGACAAGTCAAAACAATCATAGCATCTTACGAATTTTACACGAGCGTGAGAACGAAAGAGGAAGTACAAACGAACGGAAGCGTCTCGCGTTGTCGTAGTGGCGACAGCGTTTCAACGGCACGTGCAAAGAGCAAACGCACGCACGCATGCATGCACGCACACACACGTGACATTTAGTAATAAATCGAGGATATTTCAGCAGCGAGGGTGCGATAACGCGTCCGATAAAATAGGTAGTACCTGCCCGGCGTGTGCGTCGGCCGCGACCGTCGTGAGTCACCGTCGGATTTTTAAGGGGAACCGAGTCCTCCGCAATAACGATATTCCCGTCGAAGCATCGAGAGGAGAGGGGGAGAGGGCCCACTATATCGATTTAATAACAGCGTTCTTGTTTACCAGTAATGAGTCTACGCTAGACCGGATATAACGGCGAACATAAGATTAGCCGATTAGCGTCGGCGAAGAATCGAAATATTTTTTTGTTTTTAGTCTTACCGGCCTATATGTATATGTATGTATACATTAGAATGGGCCTTATTTATATTTGGCGAAAAATTTTTTCAGAATTTTTTTCACAACGCCCTCTAAAGTTGTTCCATTTAGTGAGAAAAAAAAATTGTGTAAAAGCTGAGCTCGATCGGATAATGGAAAGACGTGGCACGATCCTATTAAAGTTGAAACAAATATTTTTTTTTTCACAAAAAATGGAAAAATCCGATAAAAAGAATTCTGAATAAAGATTAAATGATTTTCTAAGTACATGTTGACCAATGATAGTATGTTTTTTAATACATGTAATATATTTAAATCGTATCAACAAAATATATCGTATATGCAGACCTTCCATTTGTATGCACATTCTTGCTCTACGAATTCATACAAATGGAAGGTCTGCATTTCGAGCATATGCTTTAAAATATTTAATCGGCCCTTTTCAGGGCCACAACATTTTTAGAATGTTGAAACAATAATCTTGAAGCAAAATTATTGACGTGTTATCTAATCTACTTATTTTACTTTCAGTCATTGCTTTCAGTGATAACAATTAGAAAAAGTTCTCTTATTAAGTAAGTTGTATTCAAAATAGCGATATTTACATATCATTTAAAGTTCTCATTAAATCTTTAGCAAAATAATAAAATAGCATACACGCCGCGTCGCGCCGCACCGAGCGCGCGCCGCCCCTGATTCACGCATAATCTAGAACGCATTCGTTAGCTTAAAATTGCTCTCATTTAAAAATTATTGTTCAGACACAATTTTGCCAGATTAAAAAGTTACTTATTTTGATACGGATAATCACGCAGTATATTCCGAGTCCGCGAATTCTGGGACATCCTGTATATTATATATGTGTATATGAAATACATCGTATTTTTATATTTATAAGCAAGCAGAAAAATAAAGATATCAATATATTTTACAATCCATTGTAATATTTAAATATATTGTAATTTTATAAATCCTTAATAAGAGTAGATTTTGGACATTTGAATACTGAGTTCTTTAATGGGTCACGATATGAAAAATGAATTGTTTTTCTCCTCATTTCTCGACAAAATTTGATTAAAATCCTGCATAAGCTTAACTTCTGCTTAACTTCTGCTGTGTCATTTACGACTTAAAGCGTTTTCACAATTTCCATATCAATTTCATGTCAATTTCATATCAATTTCATTAAGCAAAATGCAATTACTTTTTTTAGAAAGTTTAGGAGAAACATGTTTATTCGTCGATAGTTTTGAATTATAAAGTTTGCATGCACTAAATTTCGAAAATATAAATCATAAATCTATACTAAAATAAAATTGAAAAGAATTTTAAATTGAGAGTTAATTGTATAATTCACTCAGGTGTTTTTCTCTTTTTCTCTCTTTTTCTGAAGCACATTACGGAAATATTGCCATTTAATATTTGTAAAAAATAAATTTGATATTTACAAAGTGTTCCGAGAATTAATTTAAAAACTTCAAGTTAGATGTGCCACGTCTTCCCATTGTCCGATCGAGCTTAGTTTTTACACAATTTTTTTTTTACCAAATGGAACAACTTTAAGGGGCGTCGTGAAAATAATTCAAAAGTCAAAAATAAGGTCCACTCTAGTATACATATCTGCATTCAATGTATTAGAATGTATATGTGTCCCAGACAATTCAGATGGCTAGGCATTTCTGTCCCGGTGTGTACATATCCGTAGCAAACCGTAACGAATTCCACCAACTGATATTATAATTAATAAATTTTTTTTAAATTATTAATATGCGCGGTACTAGCTAATAACGACATTCCAAGTCCCGGAATTAAATAGTTAAAACATTGAAATAAATAAAATAAAAATAACAAGCCTCGCAGTTATAAGTAAAGAAAGAGAAAAGCCAGAACATCAAATTAAAGAATGAAAAAGCTATATTATTAACTTGACATGCACATAAACAATTCTTTTTGAAATCCATAATATAAATTAAAATTGGTCATCGAATGCAACACAAATTCGTCGTTCGGTGGCGGGAAAGAGTCGAGTCTGTAAATAAAATAAGTAGATGGAAATTCAAAAAAATGTGTAGTAAACCAGTCAAAATGTCAAATGTAATATAATTTTCTGTAAGAAGTAAAAAAATATAAAAGGGTAAATATGAATCGTTAACTCCCCAAGCTATAGTTAGACAGTTCAAGTCAAATCTTATCTTAATATTTATTTCATTAACAACTAACTTAATTTCTATTTTATTGATTGTAAGTATAAGTGACATGTTAGCCAGACCAAAAAGCAAGTAAAAACAAGGGTCAAGGAACATATCACTAATTTTAAATTAGAACAATTCAAACATTCGGTTATCACGGAATATATGCTCAATTTAAACCATACATTCGATTGGAATAATGTGCAACTGTGCAAATATGCAAATTTTTTATTAATGTTTGAGTTATTTTTATGCTGCATCATTTTATTATATAATAAATATAATAAATAAAATATATAATTGAATGGAACCAATCCTATTTATACTGAATCCTATTTATACTTATACCTATTTATACTTATCCCTATTTATACTTATACCTATTTATACTTATCCTATTTATCCTATTTATACTTATAACTGAATAACATTTATAATATTATTTTTAAAAGCAATATTATTGGTATGGATGCTATAGTCGTAATGAATATGCAAACAATGAAGACGATTGGAAATAGGAATAAAGCTGAGGCTGAAGATGAGGTTGAAGACGAATCTGAAGACAACGATGAGAACAAATTTTTTCGAAAAATAAAAAAAAAGTTGCATTCCCTATATATTATTATTCTCATAAGATGAATTGGAGCAATACACGCATTATAAAAATCACAACGAGCTATACGAACTTTATCGCTTTAACTGATGAGGGAAAAATAAATTGATGAGTAAAATTTTACGATAAGTAGTATAATAATAATTATTTGTTTTACAAATTTTATTTATAATTAGATTTATCATACATACGTAGACGAAAAAAATAAAGTGTCAAGGTATAAAGCAAATAAATGTCAAAAAGAAGGTTACATGCATTGATTGCGACACTGATACTTATGTGATATGTACTGATAATAGCAAAACATATTTAGAAAATGGATGATTATTAATTGAATGAATCTATACACATGACAAATTTGCTAGAACAACACGTGATCAAATTACTCTCAGGCAAATCGATTGGTAATTTAGTTGTTTCTCTTGAAAGCACATATTCCTAAAAATATAAAGACGATATTGATATAGTAAGAATTTATGAACTGTAAGCACTGTATAGAGTATTCCAATTTATATAATCTTAATATTTATTATAGTTAAGGTAGCCTGTGGAAATCAATGTACACTTGCAATGACTGAGAAAGGAAAAGTTTATGTCACCTCTATCAAGCTAGCAGAACCAAATGAGCAGAATCAAACCGGACCTATCCAATTTTTTAGTACCCAATTTGTACTAATTTGTACCACCAATAAAAATTTTGTACCTCGTGCCGTTTTGAAGAAAAACGTGGCGCTGCTAGCTTTATAT